TTATTCTTCAGAGATCTTTAGGTCATCTTTGAAAACAAAGTTTTAACCTGCAAGAATCACCTAGAATTTCTCATTTAGTTATATGGACCTAATATGACTGTATCATATTAGACTTATTCCAACCTGACTGAGGTTTTGAGAAGAGATACAGATACCAGATGTATCAGAAGAGGTATGATATGAGGCTCAAAATTTAGTCACAGAAACTGGCAATAAAAAAAGTCAACTTAGTATTTATTTTGGGGGCCTATAAATACTATTGGTTTTCCTATCACCATTATAAGTTACTACCTCAGTGATATTTCATTGACTTTATATAAACATGAGCTGCCATCAGATGTAAATTCAGTGAAAAAAACATCAGATGGTAGAAAATTAATAAAGGCCATGATTTCTTTCTGAAGATCTGTTAACTTCATATGTAGCAATGTATGATGCTAGGGGCTATTGCATGAGTCACATGTCAGCTGGAGACTTGTTTCTGAAAAAAGGCCCAGAAAAAAATAACCCTGTTCTTATCAGCAATTTACATGGATCTCAAAAGGTGTAGTACCTTCACCTAGCTTACCATGGGTCAGCTTAAAAATTACCCAACTTATCTTTTTCCCCTCATGGATGATTCTGTAATAGAGATCACACTACAATGTAAAAGTTTCCAGATACCTAGTCACAGGATTTTTCTTCTGTGTAATTTTAGTACAGTTAGCCTAGTCGAGTTTTAATTCCAAAGCTGTTGAATTGTAACAGGCTATGACACAGTGTGACAACTGTATATTTTAAGTACCTAAATAATTTTGTTGCTCTTCCCATTTTATAGCATGCATAGTAACTTCTCCCCTTAAAGTGTTTTTTAGACCTGTATGCTTTAGGCTTTTGGAAGCCTAATGCAGCTGTATTTGTGCTGATAATCACCTTGATCATAGCCTGCAGAGAACCATGGTTTGCTTGGAAGACAGGAGTGTCATTGTCTGTGAGCTAGTTATTCTGAAGGTCTGTTCTGTTGAAAAGGGGCTGTCTTCTTTTTGATGAAGACTAGTGGATCTTTTCAATTCTACTAGACTGACATCTCAGTAGATGCTGATCGTTGTTAGAAAGGCAACATTGTGCCCAATAGCATTAGACAGTCTTAAACTTCAGTAATAATTGTCCAGTTCCCAGGACTGATGGAGTGAAGCAAGCAGTGCAGCCAAAAATGAATCCTTGCATCTTCATACCACAGCCTGTGAAGGTTCCTCCAGTCTCTTCTATCCAGCCTTACCTATGAGAAATTCCATAGCTGGTCTCAAAATGACAGCTTTCCTTCTAAGCCCTTTATCTACTGTTGTTGACAACTGCAATAATTTACCCATGGCCACAGTCACGTTTTGGGTTTTTTTTTTGAAGTTTATTAATACTTACATTGTTACCTTTTATGAGCAGTAGTCTTTCTTACAGTAACTCAAACAGAGAATGTACATGTGACTAGTATCCTTGGCTGAGATGTTTTCTTTTAAGCCGGTGTCTGTTAGCTCTGATAGGCTAAAGAGGTTGTCTTTTTCCAGTGTTCAAAATCCTTCTTATAGATAAATCTTCTTTTTCTGCATAACTCAACTCTGGTCCTACCCATCTCATCCACATCTCCCTTCTTTTGCTACCCTGTAAGTTGGGTTTGGCCATGAAAGTCTCGTTTCACTTGGCAATTCACCTGTATTTGTCAGGCCAGTTCTGACTTCACATAGCTGTGTCATGCCACAGCTAGGTGTTCTCACCGGAGCTGTATGCCTCTGTATGTGTCTAGAATAAGTATTTTGGGATATATCCTAGATCTTTGTGGTACACTAAGATGAGTCACTCCATTTCTCTCCCTTTGAGCATACAGGAGAAATTTTACAAGACAGTGCAAGACTGCAGCACTTATATTTCACTTAGATGGGACTCAGTATGAAGTAGCAATACCCAGATTGGGCAGAAGTGGTCTGCTGACTAACCTAAATCCCTAGCTGAACAAATGAAGTGCATGGTGGTTAAAAATGTTAGATACAGTGTCTGAGGAAAGGTAAAAGCTGACTACAATTCAGGCATACTCAAGACAACTAATGGAAGTCAAACAATCATCTCATGAATGCTGTCCTGAAAAAAATTTCTCATCTGTCCTTTCATATAGACTTCTTGTATGTAACTCTGTCAATTCAAAATTTCAGGTTAGACCACTGAGAGTTGCAAACATTGATATATGACTTGCATTGCCTAACTCATTCACAATGGACACTTCTCATTCAGGCAGGAGTAAAGACCATGAAAAAAAAAAGTATCTTTTTAGGGGCCTGGATTCTTTTGAGCCTATTTAAATAATAATCCTAATTCAGTTAGGATTCATCTCTTTCTTAAGTGTATTGTATTTAGGCTTTTTACAAGACAGAGAATCATGGACATGTTACTTTAAGCACTCATTTCCCATTGTTCTCTGGCATTTAGTGAGTGTAACTGTTTCACTGAGGTCAATGGTAGTTTCAGTTGTCCTCTGTGGGAGGGAGTTACACAAAAGGACATACACAACTCTGCTGTTGAGTCTCACTATACACCTTCTCAATCTGTTCTAGTCTGAATAATTTTTATCTCCCTGCTCTTGAAGCTTAACTCTTTTTCTTTCACCATATTTGCAATTATTAGAAAGGTGGAAACAAAGCAGTGAAATTCCCAGGCCACTATTACTATTTAGCTTTCAAATTAACATCACCTTCTCCTAAGGACATCCGCTTTTTCAAAAAGTTAACCATTTTTTATCTTCCTCAGTGGAGTATCAGTCTGAATACAAAACTGTGAATACAATGCATTTTAAAAGCATTCAGCTTAAATTTATGCTCCTGACATTTTGAAACAGGCCCAAAAGCCAGACTGCACTATGAAAGTGAACAATGAAATGAAATTGCACCCTATTTCTTTTCCCCACTTCCACACATTCAGTCTGAAACTACACATATAGGGAAATTAACCAACAAATATACTGTACAGATAATTTTAATCAGTATAGCACCAAGACATAATGTGTAAAAATACATAAATAAATGAGATCAATAAAAACAAAAGAAAACTAACATAATGAACTATATATATATATTCTACAGTATGAAAGGTCCAACCTGGGGGTGCTGTCCCAAATCTTGCTGGTTTTGATCTTGATGAAACTGCCTCAGATGAGAAGCAAAAATCATTCCATCATACAGCTGTTTTGTTGAAATGACTACCTCCCTGTTTTTTGGACAGTTATTAGCGGATTTAAAGAAGCAAGTAATAACAGACTATGACCATCTTGGTCTATTATTTTGTTATCTGAAGCTAATTTAAATCTTCCTGGGACAATGAAATGCCAGATAAGTATATTCGTCTCAGAGAGCTTACCACCTTTAGTAGGTTATAGGCACACCAGATAATCAACATTGATCTGCATTAATTAGTCTGCATACCAAAGCTTGCACATGACTTTGAAGGTAGTTAGAACAATGATGAAAGATCAGTGGCAAAATTAATGTTACAAGAAACAAACTCAAAGTCAAGTAAATGGAAACTATTTTCTATCTTAAAAGAAAAAATAAAGTCTTATAGGAAAGAAAAGGCACCATCTCTGCAATACTGGCCCTCAGCAACACATGTCGCACTGCAGCCAGTGGGGAATTACATGGCTGTGTATCAAAGTTAAGACCTAATGCACTGCTTTTACTGTGCTGTTTACACCTTCATTTCTTTTCCCTTTTACAGTCAGGGGGCTGAAGTAGCCCAGCCAATTAAAGGAAAGTGAATTTGCCTTATAATATAAACTTGGAGCAGTTCTGCTTACCTTTTCTCATTTCACTGATGCAATCGGGATACTTGGAAACACTGAAAACCGAAGAAAAGTGCAATGACAGTGAACAATAATTATGATTACAGACAGTATAAAGGTAACAGACTTTATGGCATGAGGAAAGTATGTGATTTAGTTACTTAAAAGAATCAAAGATTTTTATTGTAAATAAATCCAAGCAGAATGTAGTCAAAATGGAGACTATAATTTCTATGAAAGCAAGATCATCTTCATTTTCTTGGGAGAGAGAGCAAGGGGAGGAATAGAGGAGTGATGGGAGGAAAACAGGGATAGAGTTCTGAAATATCTTGGATTGCCCGTATCAAAAGTAAAAATACTAGTTAAGGAATAACAGGAGGAAAGTGCATAATTTCACACTTTGGTCTGCCAGCCTGACAAATTCAGAATATATGCACTGAAGAAAGCTGGGAAAATGGCCCAAATGTTTTGATATATTTAACTTGCTTAAAAACATACAATTAGACTTCATATTAATGGTATTTGTTTCTGAATATCACACACAGAAAAGAAAATAAAAAATGAACAGGGAACAGCTTTCCATGGATGAGACTTCCATATTTATTGTTATTCCATGTGCATAGAAAATGGCAGTGAAGTTTCTTATGAAATAGGCAGGGAATGGGAGAAGTGTAGATATACTGGACTGGACTTTGTGCTTCAAAATTACACTATTCATCTTTAAAAGTTTTTTTCCTTTTAAAATTTATAATGTTTTCTTGGATTTTTTTTTGTGCATGATGTTTCAAATTCCTTTTAAAATGACACACTGCATTACAAATGGATGGCACTTTAAACCAATGTGGCATTTCCATATTTACACCAACAAAAGAAATTTACAAGACGTAATAGCATACAATCTTGACATTTAGTAATAGCAATAAAACAAGGGCATCCATTTTATTTTTTCTGTACAAACTATCAGAACAAGACTTTTATTCACATAAAAAAAAATCAGCTTTAATTTGCTCTGACCTACACACTTTCCAAATTCATTTTACTCAATTCTCAAACCTTTCATCACATCGCCCACACCCTCACCAGACTACAGGAGCTACAAGTAATTATACCTAACATCTAAACAGAGCAAAAAAACATCCCTTCCAGTTTTTCTTCCTGACAATTCCTCACTCAAAAAAAAAAAAAAACCAAAACAAAAAACTTCCTTGTTCCTTCTTTTATTTCACTTTCACATTTCATAACCTAAACAACAAATGAGGCCATTCCATTTCTTCTCAAGGAAGATGAGAAATACACTGTTGTTTCTTCTCTCTGATGCTACACCCAGGAGTCAGGTGAACCTGGGTACTGTTCTGCTCTATAAGAAGATCGTCTGGTGGAATAAAAGTCTACATAATTTGTGGTTGATTTCAGTCCATATTGTGTTGCGTAATCTGAAGTAGCAGGAAAGTGAACTCGATCATCAAAATACGGGTCTTCATAGCTATGTGGGGACTGCAAGTATAATCTGTATGCATCGTAGTTTTTTCTGTTGGTATCTTCTTGACTGTAGTACAATTGCTGATGCTGTTGACAAAATGATAGAAAAATAAGCTTTCAAAATATAATTAGCAGAGAAAATACTTGTTTCTCAAACCTACACATGATACAGAACCCTTCCCTAAAAAGGTAAGTGCAGCTCTACTAATGATGATAGTAATATAGGTTTCAAATCTCCATTAAACGTACTTAATTTTTAAATGAAGCTAAACAGAGGAAAAACGTCTAAGCGTGCCTGCGTGTCTCCTGCATTCACTGGGAAACTAGTAACTCCGGAAGTAGGAGTTTTAGAGCATAAGTAGAAAGGACAGAACCTGACCATACCTACCTACCAAAAAAAATAAAAGTCACATCAAGTCAGAAAAGTGGTCTCAGATCCCATAAGAACATGCTAAAATATGTGACTACAAAAAGAAACCACAAAGCTAATAGAAGTACATAAGCAATTACAGTTTAAGTACACTAATGCCCAATGTGAAATGTGTTCATCTGATTCATGTCAACATAAACAATGCTAGGGCTGCATAATAAAATGTGACCCTCACTGCATATGTAATCTTTAACCATTTTGTCGGTCCTTGTATAACCGCAGGCCGGGAGGAGACAGATGATATGCGTATAGTTCTTTTTTGCCAGCCCCAAACTGGTTTTGTTGTTAACAGCACAGTGTTAAACAAGAGATCCTAGGGGAAAACTGAGGCATTTATCATAGTATTAAGTGAGGTTATGAACAGGGTGATCTTTAATATGTATAAATAGAGGGTGTATTAGAGTAACGGTGTGTAAGCAATTTGTTATATGCATTTGTTAGGGGGGAGGTGTCTGTTGTGAACTTGTTTGGGTTCTGGTGACCACAGCTGGTGTTGCGCAGGGTGTGGGCTGTTGTACAAGATGTCTGCTGTCTGGCCCCAGCAGTGGGGAGCTTGGTCAGAGATACATTGCATGGAGGACCCCTCAGCCAATGAGGAGAGTTCGAATAGTTTCTAGGAGAACTACTGCACCTGCACAACCAGGAGCTGAAGAGTCTTTTGGAAGGACATGCATAGTATGAATATGTAACTAATGTTAGACTATAAAGGAAGCTGGGTTGTTTTTCACAGCGCGTGTCTTGGTAGAGCAGAGGCTCCCGGCGTGCCCAGCGCTGTTTGCTTGCCTTTATTCATTTAATAAATTGTAAACTTTGATGGGAATCCTGTTTGAGACTAAATTCATTTATCACACCCAATAACAAATTAACCATGTGCTATAGATCACACTCTATAAAAAAGCACTCTAATATTCAAACTCAAGTTCCATTAAACACTATATGCTGAGTCTTGTTAACAGTGTCATTTCAAAATGAAATTTTTGGGTCACCTGTAGTCGTCTATTTTGTTCTCTTGCTGGTGAGGAATAGGAACTGATGTATATTGGTGAAGGTTTGCTGGAACCTGTGAGAAAACAGTTTATGGCATAAACTTCAGTCTTTATTCTTTCATCTATAAGTCTGTTTGCTTCTACTTAGAAGAAATTATGTAGCACCCAAACAATTAAGTCTGCAAATTCTAATATCTACTAATAATACACAGGCAAATTTTGTCCCTCAGCAGTAGTTAAAACTGAAACCAAGCGGGTTTTTTGTTTTACAGACTAATAACTTTTAAAACAAGGAAGTTCCTTCTCTTTATTCACTGTCATCTCTATTGTTTTGTGACTTGTGTCAAATAGTAAGAAGGAAAAGGGAGATCTGAGAAAAGATGAAATCTTGGTATAATTTAACAATATAATATTACATTATTATAATATACAATCACACACAGAACAGAATCTGACAGAATCCGACAACACCCCTCACCTTAGTATATAAACAGATCTCTTATTCTGGTAATGTGTGTAATTTTCAAGAAAATAGCAGAGACAGATGAAAAATCTGCTCGTTTCCACGTGTAATAAATAAAAATGGAAAACAACATTACATAGTAACAAGCCTGCTAATGCAACTGTCCATATTATGATTGTATAAACTCCTCATATAAGGAATATTTACATATTCTAGTTAAAAGTTCACCTAACTGGTATCTTACCAGTATATATGTCTTTATGTGTAATGACATCGCCTTGGTTATTATAATACTGCATAGAAGGTTGTGTCCTATCATATTCAGAGCGGGGTTCTCTAATTCCTAATAAAGCCGGTGATGAGGATGTGCTGCCAACTGATGAAAAAAGGAAAATTATTAGTATATACAACAGAAGCCTTTCCCATCATAGCTAACCTTCTCTGTATTCTCTCCTCACCCCTTCCTTCCTCAACGATTAACAAATGAGAGAGATGTGGGTAACAGACAAAACTAGTAAATAGTTCTTCCTGGATGAAGAACCCCAATGACAAAAGCTATCAATAACATACCATGAGATTATAATTTTATACTTTAATGGTGAGTCACTGACTGCTCTATACTGCTTACAACTGAAATAAGAGACCCATTTCAGTTTGCATATTAAATAATTTGTTTGCATTTAGAAGATGATACTTCTAATGTTTATGATTTTATGTAAGTTATATTTAAAGATTCTATTTAAGTCCATCTGATCACTTGGGACAGGACAGAAAGATTTACAGTCTGTCTGGCTGAAGTGATCCATGTACACACTTGTATTACACTTCTGCATGCTAATCAAAAACAGTATCTTGGATATTTTGTGCTCCAGGTGGCTGACAACTGCTGTAAGATCATAACAATGGATTACTTACTTTATATTCTTACAGTGAACAGCTGAATTGCTACTGTAAAAAGTTTGTTCTGCTAAATCTTACCCGTTTTACAGACCACTCAGGTTTTGTTGGCTTAGAAAGGCTCCAGTAATACAGGAGAAAAATACTTTAAAATAATTTCTAGAAATTTTGCTTCAAAATATTAACCAATGATATCTTCCATTAGCTGTGTCCATTACATCATATCTCACAATTTTGTGTTATTATGGATAGTTTAATTACTAATACTATCCTGGCATATTCATGGCTAAAGCCGCTACACTTGGGGGTGTCATTAAAACTATGACATGGGTCAATGTAATGTGTGTGTTAGTAATTGAGTGACTGAAACAAGAACTGTTATAGGCCAAATGTAACTGTTCTACCATGCACCTACTGTGCATGCTGTGATCAGCAAGGCTGCTACCACAGTACCCTCTGCAGACACGTTCTTTGCACCAAACTTCCACCTTACTAGTCTAAGCTTGTTCATGCTCTGGAACAGAAAAGCAGACGCTTCCTATTAGGATTATGTACTAAGCATTCTTTGAAGTACAACAGCCTCTGAATATTATGTTAGAGCTGGCCATCTTACTTCCTACTTGTAGTTCAAAGAACTACAAGCGCTGTGCCAAAATAAGAATTTGACAGTAGGTATTGGAATATCCTTTTACACTTCGCTAGAATCTGGTCAGTTCCCTGAGCCTAAGCCGTATTTGCTTCTTTGTCACTGCTTATTTTGAGAAGGTATTTTTGGCTCTGGCAGTAGATCATAGCTTAAACAGTCTGTGAATTCAAGGTGGTGTTTTGGTGCCAGTATGTGCAAGTTGGCAACTAGGTGTAAAAGTAAGAACTGCCTTCAGTATCATGTGGTTTGAGAGTGACAAAGATACCTGGTCAGGATGTTCTTTTGGAATCCTGAAGGGCTGGGAGAAAACAGAATGTGGAAACACAGTAAGATCAGAATAACAAAACTCTCTAGAACTGGTAACTGCTGTCTGCTGTTGTATGGCACTAGGCAAAGGAGTCAGTCCCGTATGTTGTACTGTGGTGGTTCAGAGGACCTCTGGGCATGAAAGATATGCTTTCTTTCCCTTCTTAAGACACTATAGGTATACTTCTTGTAGGAAAATAAATCCCTGGTTGAGTCCTTGTTTTTCAAGTCAACCATATCATGAAGGCATGTGTGAGGGTTGTTACTTTTATGTAAAGAAGTAATTAAACAAGAGTATTATAGGAACTGGTCACTTATTTTAGCAGTCATGGTAGATACTTATTTCTCAGTATTAACATAGATCTATTCACATAAAAATAGAAGAGTAAATTGGATAAAGTAAAATGCCAAATGAAGACAATAGACAAGGCTTCAAGTAGGTTTTGTATCAGCCCCCTCATAAAGATCTAAATCCTAGCACTTAAGATGTTAAAGAAACAAAGGTGAGAAATAAATGAGGAGCCAGAGGAGTAAGATTTTTCTATGTCTCGCTCATCCTAATGTGACATTACATAATTGGGAATGAAAATAGGTCTCTTGCTTTCTATGCTATCAAGTACCTGTGTTTTGTGAGGCTACATCTAGAACACCAAGTCATACAGCACAGCAGTGGCTTTGTAAAGGGAAATGGTAACAAAGTCCAGGTGTGTACTCTGAGGATTTACTTAGCACCAAGTCTAGCCTGGTCTCATGAACTGAATGTCCATTAGCAGTTGGAGTACATCAGTGGTCTTGAAGCACACCATCTGATACAGTTTCATCCAAAAGGAATACAATTCACACATTCTGAGACTGCAGTTTGATTTGCATTAAGGAGTAAGTGGGGAGATTTGCTTAAAAGTGCTCCTTATCCAAATGAAAACACTAATGTAGAGACATCCACAAATCCTGTGGAATCTGCCAACAGTAACAGCTAAGGCAACATTCAGAGTACGTGAAGTACTTGTGTTTAAATACAGAGGAGAGACAGCATGACCTCTGTGTTTTAGATAGAATTAGTAGTAAACTGAGAGGCTATTTGAGTTTAAAAAATGGGATACCAGGTTCCCCTTCTGTAAATCTCTTTGCATTTCTTGACTGACCTGACTGTATGACAGGTGACATCTGTTGATTTGTTGTTGATAAAGAAGGATGTGATTTGAATCTCTCTCGCTCTAGTGTTGACACTGGTGTAATAAAATGACTTTGATTCCATCCATCCTGTGGAGTGGCAAAAAGAAAAAAGTCATCAAAATAAACTGCTTTTCATTAAATTAGGAGTTTTTGTAGAACTGTTTTCCAGTGTAGGCTAATTTTGTAATTTACCTTTTTATAAATACTACGGAGATCTCGGTATTGCCATAACGTATTCAGTACCTGGGCGGCTGCCTTGACAACTTTCAGTGATGATCTAAGGAAGTAAAGAATATTACATTATAAGAAAGCCACTTAATTCCACTTAAAAAGAACAATGTTCCTAAGCTGCAGAATAGCCTAAACCTTGATGCTGCGAAGCAAGTCAGGTCATCTCTCCAAGTCTCAATAATGCATGCCTGCATTACCACAGTGTGAACACAGCTCTGTCAGCAGCCTCATCAAAAGGCTGGAGCAGAACATGAGTAAGCATGACAATCATTTCCCTCTCCAGCCTAGAAATTTTCTCTTCAGGTCACCTACATGAGGAATGCAGATAGAAGGGCTGAAATAGCTACTGTCATTGTCTGCAAGAATTAAAAATCATGAAAAGAAACATTCTATTTCGTGCATTTCATAAAAACTGGACTACATACTTTAAATCATTATACAAAATTCCTAACTGTGGAAAAAGAAGAAACAAATGAAAAAGAGCTGGTATTAAAAGCCTCCAGCCATCCTCATAGTGAGACTTTGTTCTCAGTTCTGTGTTGTGCCACTGAAAACTTTCATTGGTTGGGAAAACAACTTTTCCACTCTCAAGAGCAAGGCCAGGAAAATTGTTCTAGCTGTTATTCAAAATAAAATCATGCTCTCTTTTTAAAGAGAAATGGTCATAAGCCGATAGTGGTACTGAAGTACTGATTTGACACTACATGCCACAGCATGACATCTGTGTTAAACGTATGCCTCTTTCTGTCACTGTGAAGATTCATCCAAACACAGTTTTTGAAAGAAAAGACTGAAAAAAATTGCAGGCGATAGTGTTAATCAATGAGTAGACACTCTTAGTATGTTCACAAGATTTTAGTGTACCCTGTTGTCTCATAAATGTAAGTGCAGATGCAACTTTACACATTGTCTCCACAGACCAATGAAGTCATATAAAGGATCACTGCACTCACACCTGCAGTTGAAATGAATCTGTGTCCCTTGAACATATAAAGTATTATAAACTGTGGATACTCAAAATAGAGCCCTGTTCCTTTTGAGACAAAGACTTTGTTGAAAATGTGGTATGTTTAATTTACACTGACCAACTCCTGTGAGAAGAAATCCTTTTCTCCCCTTTACCATCCAAGCCAACACTGGGAACAGTACACAGGGCTGGCTATATAATCAGCTTTCTGCTATCCATAAGGAGGAGATCTGTGATATCCTGGTTTATACAAGAGTCCTGCTTAATATGATTTGCATCAGTCTTATTGCCAAGGAGTACAGAGCAGCGATGCTGATCAAAGCCAGATGGGGTCCACGGGGCTGACTTACTGCTGACCCTGCACGACTCAGGAGCCACCACGCGTTCCTGTTCTTTGATGCTCAGCTGTCTGGTTCTGAAAGGTTTTGTTGCTACTAAATAAACACAATGCCTGATCAAGCCCAGCACTGAACTCAGCTAACAAAACCCCTAGCACAGGGGTTGCCGCAGCCATACCCAAGTAAGCCTGCAGAGAGCCAGGTCTTCTCAGCCAACACTTGCTTTGCAATCCTATTGAAGAAAATCCCACTGGCTAGGTAAGCTGCTTGGTAGGCCAAGCTCTCCTTACAACCCACCAAATGGCCACGCTAGATACAATTAACAGCTATTGTGATACATCCTGACAAAGTTGCAACTTATTCTGACTTTGAAAAGCTCTAAATATTCTATTAATCTTGTAGGTGTTTAAGAGGGAACAATTATTTTTTTTTTAAATACCATTTAACCTGAATAGACCCAATAGACCCCATTAACGTGATTACTGCACACAACTGGAAAAGTCTCCAAAAGCTTTAGATAGAGAACACACTGCATGAGAATGGTGGGAGCAACTGCCTCTTCTTTCCCACTGTGATTCAGACTTTTTTAGCTACTTGGATCAGGACTGCAACAGCAGATACTCTTTTTTTTTTTTACTCAAAAAAACTTTTCCCGCATTCTTAAGCATTTTTAATGGAACAGAGAAACAGTTTAGGTATGAACTTCGTTGCCTACTTGCCTGTCACCTCTTCCTTTTGTTATGTTCACCAGCTTTTCTATTCCTCCAGTATCAGCAAGGGCTTTGGCATTTTCCATGTTTTTACTAGTGACCTCATGCAAAGCACAGCAGATTGCTGCTACAGTCTCATCAGACAATATGCTTGGACCATTGCCTCCTGGGAGTCGATTAACCAGATCTCGCATAGCATATTTACCTATAAAAACCCATCAACAGAACAAAGTAAAAAAATACATTTTGGTACTTAAGATTTGAAATCATAGGACTCATCACAAAACTGCATCTGAAAGCAATAAAAAGAAACAGAATCAAAACCATGGAAACCTTCCAAGGACTCGCATTTTACACAGAGTCAAGAGAGACTAGAGATCAATTTTTGAATTTTTTTTTCTTCCTTTTATCTTAATGTAAGAAGTTGCATTTTTGCTTTAGAACAGGAGCATTTGTAAACAAGAATTATTTGGAGAAAACAATCATTCAAGGAAAAATGTTATGCTATTATGATTGAAGGAGTGCTGCATTTTCCTAGGCTTCACTTATGGGAGGGTTAAAGAAATCCTTACAGTAACTTGGAATTTTTTTTTTCAGACATTCTGTTCACCTTATTTGTTACCCAGAACAGATCAGATCTCAGCTTTTTCGCTCTTCAATTACTGACTGATGCATAGGAATAATCACACTGCAGACAACAGAAATTAACTAACACTAAGGTACTTTTTTTTTTTTAACCTGTTTAGGCTATGCTGTTAATTGAATGATTAATTGATTTTATTGAAGACATGTATTTGTACATAACAGTGAATAATGAGTAAGCTTTACACAAAGCCATTAGCTATCTATTTGCATATTGTGCCTGAGGGGGAAAAAAAAATATCCAAAAAGGAATTCCGCAAAAGGAACAACTTTTCAAACACACTGGAAAACTATCACCAACAATGCTGTATACAGTAGTACCCTGTCACTGCCAATCTTTCAGCAAGCTCATCAACACATGTTTGCATATACCAATTCATATTGTTATTTGTCAGAGCCCCCAGTCTCTTACTTTCTTCAGAGTTTAGACCATGTAAACCCATTATTCCTGCCCCTACCAACGGCAGTAAAGTTGCATAAAATAGATTACTAGCATGGGGAGACTCACTTCATGTCTCAAAATATTTTATACAAAGATTATTTTCAGAGTCTATCTGGAAAGCCAATAATTCTTTCATAGTTAAAGCTTTGACAGAGAGAGGGAACAGGTAGAGGTGCATTCCTGAACTGAAAAGTTCTGCCAGGAAGGGGGGGGGGGGGGGGAAGTCCTGAAAAGAGAGTATCACGTGAGTATGACCTGTATATGGCTGGTGCTATAGAACAGAATTTTCTTTTTACTGATTTCTTATGCATGTAATACCTATGCTGCAAGAAAACATGTTCTGAACATTCAAGATGGAGAAGCTTCAGAAATATATAATAAAATTGTGTTCACCCGCATTTATCTTTTTGAGAATAATGATACTCTTATCTGTATAGTTTTCATATACTTATGCCACTGGTCTACAACACAGAAAATGCTTCTGTAACAAAAATGAAACTTTTTTAGATCATGACATGTGCTAGCAGGGTTCATTTAGGCTGCAGCAGTCTGAAGCTGACCGTGAGGCATATTCAACACTTGCCATAATAGACCGAGATTCCTCATCAAGGCAGGAAAAATGTTGTGGTTTTTTTAAATGCTAGAAGAGAAGGGCACAGATGAATGCTTAAAGTATTAAATATTAAAATTGACAAAATGGAAACATTATGTTTTTCTAGAAAGCACCCTTGCTGATTACTTAATTCAGCAAAGACTTAATTCAGCTCTGTATCTGGGTTTTCATGGAAATATTTTACTAGGAGAAGATTTCTTCCCTCTCTCCCTGTCCAACACTATTCAAGTATTTACTGATGTACTGGCAGCAGGTGCTGTCCTATCCTCTTAGAATATGTAAGGGACCTTGAAACCCTCTGAGAAGGTTACCGTTCAGCTCCAAGGAAGCAGAGTTGTGTTGTCCATCATGTTTTGTACTGACAGTTTCCTGTCCAGTTTAGTTTAGCTGAGGTGGCTTCCATCCTTTGTAAAGAGATTGCCATGCAAAATGGCTAAAGGCAAACTAAAATGTCAACATTATTCTGAAAAGCTACTGCTGTCAAAAAGATTAATTTCTGTGACACAACTGACATGATACAGTAAAATCAAGTATGCTATTTCTACTGGTAGAATCTCATCCTAGTATTTTTTCAATACAAGGTCTGACAGGTTGGTGATCATGCTTTCTTCAGTATAGTTCTGTACTTACCAATAAGCTCCTTATTACGAACGTCTAATGCCATATTCCTTAAGGCAGTTGCCACAGATGAAACAACTCTATCATTATCCATTCTCAGCAGCTCCACAAGGATTGGTAGTCCTTTTTCTTTTCTTACAGCAGCTCGAATGTATGCTGCAAACTATAAAAAAACTCCAGTTAGTCACAAATCTACTACAACACTCTGACGGAATTAATCTCTTACTAGATTGTAATTCTTAAGTATGTTAGGGGACATTTTCCAAAGACAGGATGACATGTTAAATGCGTTATCTTTTCTATCATTATAAAGGCTTGGCTCTGTTTTTCACTCATTCCTCTTACAAAGCAATGTTTAAAAAAAGTGGTCTAACAGACAAGATACCTTAATAGATGACAAGTTATTGAAAAGGGAACAGTTTTTTTTGGGTTTGCCCCCTTTTTTTTCTTTTTTCTAAGACCAATTTTATAATGGCCATAAAATGAAGGTGTCTTAGCTGTTTTTCTACAAGCAAAGGAAGCAATTAATGTTTGTTTTGGTTTTAATCTCTCCATGACAAACACGTAACATTAATAAAGTGTTCTCGTGGTGCTTTCGTAACATATTGCATGCAAGGGCCACAAGCAAGAATGTATGGAAATAAATAATACAAATAATAAAGCAAATATAAATAAATTGTTTGTGCTGGTCTTATTTTGTCAGTACCTTCCTACCAGAACTCACAGCTAGAAGCTGCCAGAAGATTATTTTGACCTAATACGCACTGGAAAAAAGCTTCTTCTGTTCAGCTAAAATAAATGGTACCAATTTCAAGGCCAGTTTCCATATTGGTCTTCCTGTCTACCATCTCTGTCATTACTTTTCGCTGTGGAAATAACATTACTGCAGCACATAAGCACTAATGATACACACTAGAGAGAAATACTCAGATGCATACTAGAAAATGAGATGTTCCTTCCAAACACATTCCAATATCTTATTGAAAAACCCAGCTAAAATACAACGATAGGAGGCAGAGTAGGAATTCACATACCTTCCAGTTGCCTGCAGAAAGATTCTGGAGAGATCCTGCAGAGCCCTCTAGAGTAGCTGGATTGGAGCTTTCTGCTAGAAGCGTTAGGTACGGCTTTACCACAGATGGGTGCCATAGCATTTCCACCCCTTTAGGAGACTTGGAAAATCCTGGTATAGGGCCAACTCCATCCCACTGAGAAATGAACAGATATTCGTAACTACATGAAACCTCTGTATTTTCATTAAACGTATGATAGTTTTTCTTCAAGCTATGTACTCCCCATCATCATTAGATAAACTACAGTTCATATATTTGTAATATGAGGAAAACAGCAAACCTGATCCTCCTGCGAAGTTTTTTTTTTCTTCTTCTTCTTTTTCCCCCAGCAACTTGGCTCTGAATCTTTGCTAGGCGATTCTTTTCCTAACAAGTCATCCAATTCATTGATTCCTAGCAGACGTGCCTGAGGTACCTCCAGTTCCAAACGGTAAGAAAGGTTTCTCAAGGTACACACACAGTTTTCCACTGTCTGAAACCAAACCAGAAAGATGTCACGTAATCGGTTACTTTCTTACATAGTGATAAAGCAAACCAAACAAATCAGGTGAAGGTGAAAAGGCATTTGGAGCATAAGCACCAAATTTTAATTCTGGGCCTTGGGCATTGCTTTGTCTGTTTCTCTGGGAAAACTGCAATCTCTCTCCTGATATCCTCAAATATGAAAATAATTCTAATGGTAGAAATTACTATAGTGGCTTAGTTTTTAGTGTTCTGAAAATTAAAAGCACAAAGGCTTATTATTAATTTATTAAGGAATTAATACTTCAGCACTGAATGAAAAGCACAGAACAAGTTACACTGTATTATGCAACAGAATTTGATTGTGCATCAGAGAACTGGGATTGGGAGAAAAGATCAGTTGAGCCAAGCACATCACAGTGCTAAATTATACTATACAAGAACCAAAAGATCCTATCAGACATACAGCTTAGCACTAAAAATCAGTTAGAGGAAATGTGCACACACCTTGCTGTCATAATCGGATGTGTTCACACACGTGTGGATCACGTATAGCAGTGAATCGACCAGCCCTTCGCAAGACCTCATCTGCTTCCGGGCTTCTTCACCGGCAGAGCTTAGATTCCTAAGGGGTTGAAATGAAAAAGGAACACTGTATTCACAGACAGATATATGTACAATCATTTTATTAGGTAGTTTGCAGAAGTTTTTTTTTTATATTGATAATTGACTTTGAGAAGTTAAAAGCAAACATACCATTTTGGGCAACAACAGACACCCAATTCTTATAAAAATATGATTCAAAACTGCAATTTCAAGATATCATTGACTCACTGACAAAAATGGCCATAAGTAGAACCCCTTTCCCACAGACTTTTCCATTCAAAGCCTTCTCTGTTGTACAAGTTCAAATCTATGGTTTGTATGCGCTGTAGAACAGATTGCTGAGCTTGTCTGTGCTAGAAATAGCCTTTGTTGCCTCTTTTTTAAACTGCATCCATTCAGTGACCTGTTCTGTGGTGCAGCCTCATGAACATTTGTAATAGTGCTACACAGACAGAAGTACAAATGTATAAATTAGGGTGTAGGGAAAGGAAAAGGCCACACTGTGCTTCAGAATAAGCAGCAAAGGATGTAGACAAATATTTGCCTTCAAGGCCACTGTACTGCAAAACCTGAAGCTTGCACTGTGTCTGGATGCACACTGAAAATGGTACTGCTGCTAAAAAACATGTCACCATGCCTGTCCACAGAGGTGCTTTCTCTCTAGACATCATGTTTGCACTACCACACTAGCCCAACCCGATGTTCAAAAGCAGTGTAAAACTTGTCATCTTGAAAAACAACCCAATGAACAACAAAGTAGTTTATGAACATATTCTGAAGTTTAGAAGGGTTACCAGCAAATAAAAAGCAATTCCAGTTCTGTTTAAACACAATGGCCTTACTCTGCTGTTTGGTGGAACACAATTTGAAATCTAATTAATTAAAAACAAACCTACAAATGAACAAAAATTGCTCATATACTACCCCGGCCCTTCAATTCTCTTTCAGATATTTTAGTTTTGCCTTTTATTATTCTGAATACATTTTTTTTCCTTCGTACTGCTGTCTGAGAAATCCACAAAGGGAGTAGTCAAACACTTCTTTACTGATATGTATGCATATACAAATGTAATTTTTAAAATGTATACAACAATAAAGAATCACAAAATGCAAAATTTTTTTGCTAAATAATATTCATAAGCCCTACACACAATAGAAAAATTGCAGTAATAAGGGAAAAGTGCAGTGATTGTAATTTATAAAAAAACCAAGCAAAATGTAACCGCTAGCCATTATAGTTAGCACCTCTTAGTGACTAACTTCGTACTTTTCATATTTTTAGAAAATGGAAGAAAAACAAATGCAAAAGCTGCCTAAATGATAGAACTATAAGTAATTACAGAATGCAACAACTCTTTGGTCTTAAAAATTACAGTGTAAAAAGGACCTGTTGGATAACACGATTACTCTGTAAAACAGAGTCTTCCAGAACAGCAAATTACCTCAGGCATCCTGTAGTATTGCGCAGAACTAGGGAAGTCTGAAATTTAATTTTATGATCATCATCAAAGGAAGAACTGTTCCATCCAGAATGTGGCACTATCACAGTGTTCGTTAGTGTTGACAGAGCATCTCTAATGATTGTCATCTTTACTGCATCGCATGAAGACAAGTTCCAGAGAACCCCTTAAGAAAAGATTTCCATTGCAGTAAAGTCAGAAAAGACTTAGCAAACAAATATAAAGCAACATTAACAACTGAAAAAGACATCATTTTAAATAGGAGAAAGATAATTTACCTATGCAAAACCAAAAGAAATATAATTAGTCTGCAATGTAACTTTAATATTAATTCCAACATTATTGGTCAATAAGTGGTCAGCAAAGCTGCCATTAAAAGATTCACTTTACAGACTGAAATAAATATTTCTAGACTTCAGATTATGATGTATTCAGCAGCCTTCTCTCTATCTGTTTTGCTGCTGCATAAGCTCTTGGACGAAAGAGTTGGAATGCCAGATAGTAATTAGAATAACCCTTACAGATCAGCAGCTAGGTCTCCCACAATACCTAGAAGGAAAACATGCATATCGGTGATTAAATACTCTTTTCTTAAAGAAAAATACTCAGCAGAAACACACACTGACTGACAGGAGACATTCCCTTCTTTCTTTCCTGAGGTACAGCTCATTCTGCTACCCGATAGGAGAGAAGTCCCCACTGCACTCCAGGAGTCTAGAGGAATATTCCCTACAAGCACACAAACTCATCTCATTTGCAAAACACCTTTCCATCTTTCTGAAACCACATGTGCCTTGAGCTCGCCATATCTCTCTGATGCTAACATCTTTCTTAGATGTTTAAAGATCAGTCCCATACTGACTACCTGTAATGGAAAGAAAAATCTGTCTTTTTTGGTAGCATGCCAGGCAACATGCCAAATCAGCGCAAGCTGCTATAAACATGCCATAGCAGACACTTCTGTTCCTAAAGTGGTCACTAATGGATTTGCCAGATTAATCCGGCACAAAACTTCACATAAAACAAAAAATGAAAGTCATTTAGCCATTTACTATTAACTAGAGTTTTACTGACATCTGTCACCTATATGGACATTTGCAGGTGTGCACGCACAGTCACTGCAGCTGGAATGGAGTGGGGTACCAGTGACACTGCTTCCCGAGCGTGTCTGGCAGGAATGGCACCCTACACGGCTGGTGGGTTCCCCTCCCAGAGGAGAATTCCAGTGTAGAAGGAAAGGTGTGAATGTTTGCATGAACAGAAAGAATATCTGCGAAGAAAGCAGCTGCTGGTAACCTCCTTCCAGTAACTGTTCATATGGTCATTACAGCTATGGGTGACCACCAGCACTGCAACTCCTGACTTACAGAGGTTATGTGGAGGAGGTCACTACTGGAACTGTCACTGCTCTGTTAAGAGGAATGTGTCATGATTTGTGCTTTTAGACAACGGTAGAGCCTGCAGTGGAAGGGCAGCTAAATCTCAAAAATAAAAATGCCCCTTACAGATGCCATTGAAACTGCATGCCCTCTGTGAGTGTGTAACCTGATCCCTAGCAGTATTTGCATTTGTTGCCTCATTAGTTCTAGCCAGTGGGCAGTCTGAGGTGAGAAGGCATATTTATCAGACAAGATAAGGCCTTTTTCTGAACTCTTCATCCTATTCAAAAAAAGCCATGAACATCTAACCTCCAAAGGGTGAGTCTTCAACAAGCCTGTAAGAAAGAGGTTTGGGAGCATGAAGAAACAGATCATTATCCTGATTTATATGAAATTTGGAGATTAAAGTTATAAACTACTTCTTAAAAAGGAACATGGAAAAGATGCGGCAATATTCTTAGAGACTGTTTACATTGGAAATCTCTACAACTTTACAGGCAGAAGTTAACAGCTAAAAGAAAGGTCATAAGAATAGAAGAGCAAAAATTAAGCCAGAAGAAACCAAATATATGGATGTCATAGCTGAAAGATCATCAATGTTTTGCAAACATTAGGTCTTGTGAAAAGAATTCTGAAAAAATGACAAAGAAGGTAGATTGGCAGATGGGTGGTAGCCATTGAAGAGTTTTCAGTAAAGGTCCCAAGTGTGTGACGTGGCATGAGTGTAGATCAGGCAGAACCTGGAAAGCCAGTATCCAAAAAGGAGGACTGCAAGATGAACAATGGAGAGGGGATATAGTTTTGGGTTGCATTTTCTTTTTCCAGTGATAAACACGGGAAGAATGGCCTGCACTGATATTACTGCTTTCTTGCAATGTATGCCTGGGATATTAGATACTTAAGTGCAGAGCTGAACATACAAGAGCTCATGTAAAAATCCTACAGAAGCTTTCTTCCTGGAAACTCTAGTTTCTTGCTGTAATAAGAAGTCTAGGGTATTTTACATTCACCTATTAGCCAAATGAAACTGCTATCAATCTTTTATCCTCAGGCAGAATTCCATAGTTGTCTACCCTGCAGAGTCTTCTTACATGACATTCAGATACAAAAGTATGAGATCTGACATAAAATATCAGCAGAACTGTATATGCAAGTAATATGCTAAATATGGCATTTAATCATCTTTTTCATCATGAAACGCAGCTTAAAGTTCATCTAAATTCTCACCAGGTACTCATCTTACTCAAAGTATTTTCCTGACATACAGTATTTTACTAATTTTAAAGTAGTATAGCTATGTAATCTCAGCAAAAAACATTAAACAGCATTTCCACAATAGCGCAACACAATGGCTACTATAAACCATACGGTCTTCAGTTTGACTAGATCTTGAACATCTAGTTTCCTCAGAAATAAGTTATGGGGGTACAAGACAGTAAATGTTACAAGAGTTAACAAAATCAGAAGTTTATAAGACAGCAAAAGTTTTTAATACAGACACACAAAAATAAGAAGTCCAGAGACTGCCCTATGCTTGTCCTGTTATAGAGTTGGCTAAATGGTAGATAAAAGACACTTGTAAATAGTCCACCGAAACAGCATCTGCAAAAACAGTCATGTAAGACAGTTTTCTGAATACGACTGAACTACATACAAAACATCCCCTAGCTATCTTATGATCATCAACAGCAATGGATCATGCATGCGCTGGAGAGATCTCACAGGACCATACAACAGGCAGATATAAGAATTCAGAAGAACAGCAGTATGGGGAGTCTCAGCTGATGCAGCTGAAGACACCGCTGCAAGGACTCTTGCAATAGAGACTCCTGTCACCATCTGGAAGTCATAAACCCTTGTGTTCAAGTAATCTGCTTCCCCAGGTGTTACCATATGCCAAGACCCCCAAAAGCTTTTTTTTAAAAAAAAAACCAACCCAAAACAATGCACTGTCCGTGGATGTCCATACAGGAAGCAAATATTGCACTGTGCCTGCACTGTCTGCTTCTTGTTCCTCTTAGCTATGTATGTCACGGACACTGCATGAGCAGCAGAGCCTGCTGTGACTCTCGCTCCTTCCCCTGCCTGCTACATCTTGCCATCAACAACCTCTTCCCACCTGATCCAGTCTTCTGAAAAAGGACCAAGAACAAATAAACCAAACCTGCTGTCTGTCTCAGCAGAAACTTTTGAAGATTTCAAAGAATACATGCCCAGCTGCTGCCTTTTTTCTTATTCTTCATACTACCTGTTTATTATACTCATCTTGGTGTTCAGGTATCCTCTTCCCGCAGTTCCTGATCCTCACCAAATGGCGACAAATACGACAGCCAATCTTAGAGGTGCACTTTTCCCCTTCTCAACTCCAGGCTCTTAAATCTAATTTTTTCCAGGCTGGCACAAGATGGTAAACCTCCAACTCTTACCTGTTAGAGTTGTTTCTCCTGCTCTCCTCCCCTTTCTGTGCACTCAACAGCTAATCTACAGGAGTGAGTCTCCTCCAACGCAAGAAGCACTTGCTTTTACCAGTAAGCTTACGTCCTTACAGAACTGAATGGGTTTCCGGCACCTCTGAAGGACAGAATGTTTGAACATTCCTGTCACTAGTCATGAGGTGGCAGATAGGAATAGGTACGTACAGACAGAACTCTGCTACAGCAGAACACAGACCCTCTGACCACACCACCTTTATTCTGCTGGAACCCTACCGCGCCCACTCAGTGGTATTTTTAGACTTCCTGTGTGACAGAACACCTGCTTAATTTTTTTGCTTATAACTGTACTTCTTATTTGTACCTACTGTCTGGTTACTTTTCAAATTGCCTGCTATAAATTTCCTTCCAATAGTTTGGCATAGAACAAAATAATAAATTAATTTGTAAGCAGCAAAAAGCAGACTGTCTCATTCATGGTCTGATAGTCCTAAGGAACTATAGAGAAAAAATGTACAACAGATACTTCACTGTTAAAGTGTTCAAAGATTCTTGATACTTTTAATACCATCACAGACCCCTTTTAGAGCCACAATGAAAATATTATTTAAAGTATTTAAATTGACAGTATTTAAATTGAAAGTATTGCTCCTGTACAGGAAGACTTCCAGTAACAAAAGAGAACTGATTACAAACCGGGAAATAAAAAAAATAATTTTTAAAAAACAGTGCTCTTTAAAGTTGTTGTGTAGGGTTTTTTCATAAAAGCTTGAGTGATTCTCAAAAATTATTTATGACTTCACCAAACTTTGTACTGCATTACATTTACACACTCAAGATAAGCTGAAGTTTACTTATTCTTCAGGTTTAACAGATTGATTACGTAAACCCAGCTATTTCAAATACATGTCCAATTTCATACCATAAATCTCTTCTGTGACTGTATGCCCTCACTAAAGAAAAGTACTTCATGGGTAACTAACAGTGAGAAATCTAAATGCTTCACTGGCCTATAGCTTTAAGTTTTTGAAACCATTATTTCATGCAATTTGTGATGCAAAACTAGAAATCAGATCTCACCTAAACCTCCTCCCTGCCCCCCAAACATTTGTTGTTAAAGCAAGTTATGCAAGAGAAAAATTCTATTTCGATTTTCAGACTACTATTAGTTACCGAACGCATACAGGAAAATAGCATGCTCGATTCTACGTGACCTAGCTTTGAGAATAGTACTGTATGGTTATTCACAGAGGTAAATCTCTCAGCCTTGCAAAGTATGACTACCTCTAAATATTTACTGGCTAACCTATAGCTTGTGAAAAAGCTGGGGCAGCTGGGGGCTGTCTGAAATGCCA